ATTCCAAGATCAAGTCTCCAGTATCTGGCAAGAGCCATCTTGCTGTGTAATCACATGATGGAAGGCAGAGAGGCAAAGAGGTAAAAGGGGACTGGTCTTGTCCTTCAATAATGACATTAATCCCATCTATGAGGACTGAATCCTCATAGCCTAGTTACCTCTCAGGGGCCCCACCTCCTAATACCGTTACAATGACAACTATATTTTAACATGAGTTTTCAGGAGGACAAATATTCAAACTATGGAATCTGAGTTACTTTTTAAGAAATACTTTTACAGGTCTAGGTGAATCTCAGGAATCAGCATTTTAATAAGAAACCTGGGCAATTCCAGAGCAGAGGGCCAGTGAACCTTGTTTTGAGAACCATTTCTATAAATATTCTGATCTTTCTGAGCCTCAGTTTTCCTTCTCTGTACCTTTCTTTTGGTTACCACCTTCTCTGTCCTTCTTTCAAATACTCTTTGTAAGACTTAGTAGACTGGAAGTCTAAACAATAATTCCTAACATGTAAGCCTGGTATCCCATAAATGAGTTAGATTCTGATCTGCTCAGCTTCAGGTCCCCAGTGGCCTTGTCTCTTACACCCTTCTCCTAAAAACATTTCACTTTCTGTCTATCCCAAAACAAGTACAAGACTGAGAAGCACTACCTTAAAGAGCAGGGGTCATTGCTTGTTCCTTCATATATGTCCAGGGCCTAGAATGCTTTCTTAGTCATAGGAGAGACCTGGGAAATATTTATTCAACAAATAAAAGATAAATATTTGGGGGGAGAGTACCATATATTAGCAGACTCTATTTCCTCAACTTTCAATTATTCTTTAGGATTCTGTCCATTTGGATCCACCTTTACCACTCTACCAGAACTGCAAAAGAGCCTAGGCTTTGGGGCCTACATAGATAAGTTCCCATCATATTTTTATTACTAGCCACATTGAGAGTTGGGGCTAACATAAAAATTTGAGGGAGGACACAGTTCATTCCATATCAGTTTCCTTTTCGGTGATATTTTGCTCTATATTGTTTCATTCTTCAGTGTCTCTCTCCAGTAGAATGTTGCAGAAATTGGAAGACCTCCTAAAGCTTAGACTGAACTCAGAATATCACACACATTCTAGTAATCAAAGTAAGTCACAAGGCCAGCCCAGATGCAAGGAAAGGAGAAGTGGACTCAACTTCTTGATGGGAGGAGTGGTAAAGTCCCATGGCTCAGGACATGTGGAACAGGAATGATGCTTGCAGCTGTCTCTGGAAATAATCTATCAGTTTTTCCTTGAGAAACTTATTTAATCACCTGATTTCCCCTAGCTTTGTCTGCAAAGAAAATAACTTCATGCATTGCTTAATGATGAGAAATGGATCGGTGGGTGATTTTGTTGTGTTAACATGGTAGTATACTCACACAAACTGGGACCGTAGAGCCTACTACATGCCTAGGTCATATGGTATGGCCTATTGCTCCTTGGCTACAAACCTGTATAGCATGGTACTGAATACCATAGGCAAATGTAAGATGGTATTTGTGTATCTAACTGTAGAAAAGAAAAAATAAAACTGTGGTATAAAAGATAAAATTGGTGTACTCTATAGAGCATTTACCATAAATGAAGCTTACAGGACTAGAAGTTGCTCTGGGTAAGACTGTAAATGTGTAGTAAATCAATGTGAAGGCCTAGGAAATTACTTTATAGCACTGTACACTTTATAAACACTGAACACACTTAGGCTACACTAACTTTACTGTATTACTATTTTATTTTCTTCAGTAATGAATTAATATTAGCCTACTGTAACATTTTTATGTTATAAACTTAACTTTCAAATTTTTTTTGACTTTTATAACACTTAGCTTAAAGCACATTTTGTATAGCAGTACAAAACATTCTTTCTTTATACCCTTATCCTAAATCTTTTTTCTATTTTAAAAATTTTTTAGTTTTTACTTTTTTCACTTTTTAAACTAAGCCACACACACAAACACACACGCGCACACGCGCACACACGCGCGCGCCTAGGCCTACACAGGGCCAGAGAATATTACTGTCTTCTACTTCCACATTTTGTCCCACTGGAAGGTCTTTAGGGGCAACAACGTGCATGTAGCATTATCCTATTGTAATAATGCCTTCTTCTGGAATTTCTCATGAGAACCTTCCTGAGGTTTTACAGTTAACTTTTTTAATATGTAGAAGGAATACACCCTAAATTAATGATTAAAAGTATAGTACATACAAAAACCAGAAACAGTCATTTGTTATCACTATCAAGTATTATGTCCTATACATAATTGTCCATGCTTTGCTTTTGTATGACTGGCAATTTTGTAGGTTTGTTTATACCAGCATTGCCACAAACCTGTGAGTAATGTATCGAGCTACAATATTATGACAGCTAAAATGTCACTAGGAAATAGGAATTTTTCAGCTCCATTATAACCTCAGGGGACCAGTGTCATATATGCAGTTCATTATTGATCAAAACTTTGTATGTGGCTCTTGATTGCAAGAGCATCTTCTATTTTGGGATGTTATAAGTAATAAATTAAGAAAATGTTCATCACCTAGCCCACTGTAGTAGATATATAACAGCAACAATAACAACATATATTGACTGAGCCCATATGATGTCTACTCTAAGTACTTTAAATGTACTACTTTAATGTCATTAACAATTTAGTGATAGTAATATTTTCTGAAGAGAAACCCTAGGCACAAACATCTTAATTTGCACAAAGTTGGTTGCTTAGTAACTATTCTAATTTTTGAATGTCTTACATTCAAAGGATACTTCTTTTGTTTTTTCTTTAAACTCTATTTTAAAGCTGATGGTTAATGTTGTTAATTATTTTCTATTAAACACTCCTCCTACCTTGACCTCCATGATTCACCTCTGTCCAGTTTTTCTTCCTCTGATTTCTACTTTTCAATGGTCTTCTTGTTAAGCCACATTTTAAATGCCCAATTTCTCTCCCATTTTCTCCAATTCTTCCTTCGTGGAGGAACCCGTTCGATGTGGTAGCTCATTTTCTGCCCTTCTTTGATGAGTGCTGGTCTCTTCTCTCAGCTCTAGGCTAATATGTCTAAGTTTGATTAGTGTCTCATCACATGTGAACCAACCATACTTTTTTTCTTTTTTTTTAGTCTGGATATTTCTGACCATCAGCTAGTGCCTTTGGCCAAGTGTAACTATACCCACATCTTACCTGGTTTCTTGAAGTCATCTCTTTTTTACAAAATTAATTTTATTGGTACATTTTAGATATACAATATAATGACATTCATCTTTGGAAATTTGCACCTTTACATAATTTCTTGGTTCTTATTTTTTCCCCATTCCCCTGCCCTCCCTTCAACCCTTAACTGAATTTAATCGCCTTCAATTCCATTCTGACACGGTGGCATCAGTGATATCTTTCAATTGGCTCCAGCACACACCTACCCCCAAGCCTCTGCCAGACCTTGCATGGTGTTCTCCTTAGTCCCACCACTGTCACACAGCCTCGCCTCCTTTAAGTGTCCCCTCCTTTGGAGGACCAGGACCTGCTCAGATTCTCCCACTGGCTTCTTTTTCAGCTGGTTTCTTCTCTCTCATTTTCCTAGAGTTACTTGTCTTTTCACAATTCTATGACATTATCTTTGTAACTCTGCATTTTATGTTATTCCCAAACAAGCTCCTTAAAACCCTAACACCATTCACAGCCGGATTTCAAATCTTGCCTGCTTAATGAGCACTCTGGAATCCTGAATTACCTTTCTGTACAATATGATTTGCTTCCAGCTGTCCCTAGCGTCAGCATAACCTTTTGGTTAAAAGCGCCAGTTTCCAGTTGTAGAGATTCTCTAACTGTTATAGAATGGAGATGGATGACACCAGTATCATGAAAATACGTAAAAGAAAGAAAAAGGAAATGAAAGCTCTTCCTCTCTGCATGAACCTGGACAAGTGACACTTTTCAGAGTCCCTGGTTTTTCAATGACAAAATGGGGGTAGTAAAGAGTTCTCTGGAGAATTAAATGAGATTATACTGTATATCGAAGGTACTTGTGGTAGTGTCGAACACACACACACACACACACACACACACAAATAGTTCAATACTTCGTGGTTATTTCTGGGCTTGTTGCCTGAAAGACTGGAAAGTCAAGTGGATGACAGGCACCGCGAGGAGCCTTCCAAACACCTAGAGTTCTGTTACTCTCTCTCTCTGGTGCTAGAGACACATTGGTAGCCCTCAGGATTTCCAATTAGTTACTTAGAAAACCAGCCGGGATCCGCGGCTTGCCGGGCAAGCCTCAGCACCTTTCCTGGGAGTCATTTATTTGGCCTTAGTTCTGATGTGAGAGCTTCCACCTCCTCCACATTACCAACCACAGTGGTCGAAATCCTTTGCTGGCAAATCTTAGCCCTAAACCACGCATTTGGGCATCTGGCATCCTTAGGCCCGTGGTTTCTGTTCAGGCGGCGCTTTCCAACTTCGAAGTAGGCGCTCTGCTCTCCGCGGGTGTGGTCCAGACCTCAACCTTCGCGCCTTGCCCCGAACCACGTGGCCCGGACACACACTGCTAGAGGTGCTGTGGGGGTGGGGGGCTAGTTTGCCTCCGGGCAGAGGTATGGGGTGGCGAGAGCGCCTTTGCCGCGCATCGGCTCTCACTCTCCAAGCCTGGGCGCGGCCGCTCTGAGCGTGAGGTCCCGGGCCGAGTCCAGCGCTCCACCTGATGGGCGGGCGCGGGGGCCACCTAGATCCTATCCAGCGGCTCACACCCTGACCCGGCCCCGCCCCCGGCGGCTGCGAGTGGCGGGCGGAGCGCTAGGAGCGTGGCGCGCTGGGCTGTGCGGAGCCGCCTCCCCTTCGCGCCGGGGGAGGGACTGAGGGGCCCGGCGGGAGCGAGAGAAAGCCGGACGGACCCGCTGGCGAAGAGCTAACTGCATGCAACCGGTGGGAAGCCGGGCCGGACGGGGCTGGGGCTGGGGCTGGGGCTGGGGCTGGGGCTCGGACCGTTTCTTGGCGGGCCCCTGGCGGTGCGCGCGGACCGCCCGGAGGCGGCGGCTCTGAGCTGGCAGGCGGAGGGCTGTCTCCCGCGCCCGCCTGCCCGGCGCGGTCCGAGGATGCGGGGGGGCAATGCCCGGGGCCAGGGACGCCCTCTGTCACCAGGCGCTGCAGCTGCTGGCCGAGCTCTGTGCCCATGGGGCCCTGGAGCACGACAGCTGCCAAGATTTCATCTACCACCTGCGGGACCGTACCAGACCCCGGCTCCGCGACCCAGGTGAGTGCCGCCGCCACCGCCGTCTGGCGTAACAGGAGGGCCCTGGGCTGGGACTTGGGGCCGCACCCGGGCCTGAGGCAGCAGAGCTACGCGCACCGGCGGAGAGCAGGGGGTGGCCACCCAGCCGGAAGAGGGATCAAGAAGCCGCGCACCTTGGCCTGATGCAGGAACCCGGCAGGGACCCAGGAGGTGGCTGCTGCGCGCAGGCCAGTCTGAGTGGGCTGGGGCAGGGTTTGGAAGGACCACGCCCGCTACCTGCGCACCGGTGGCCGGGGCTCCAGGGGGGCCTCTCCTGAGCTCTGAGCTCCGCGATCCACTTCCCCAGCTCTGCGCCGGGAGGGAGTGGAGGCCGCCGCGGCCTCTGGGGCTGAAGAAGGGGGATGAGGCCAGAGGAAACTCTGGGAAGTTGGGAGTTGGGGACGGCCCCCGGCTGAGGCTGAGTCCCATTGAGCGCTGCTCATCCTCGTTCCCGAGCGCCTAGTTCCTTTCTTTGGTTTGGGGTGACAAGGGCGGGACGGGATCTGCTGGAGGCACTGGGCTGGAGACGGGAATCTTTAGATCTTGGACGGCCAGGCCTGAACCAGTTCCCTGCTGGTCGCAAGGCGCAGAGGCAGCCTGGGCCTGGACGTTTGTTTCTACTAGCTGCCCCTACGGGGCAAGCAAGGGTGGGTGGGCTTGCCGGTCGTGGCTTGGGCACCTGAGGTCACCCCTAGTGAAAGTTACAAACCTCCTAACTTTGGAAAGTTCATTTATTTTGGCACTTGACCAATTAAGGTTGGAGGAGGGAGTTTTAGTGGAGCCATTTGCTTTCTCCAACTGTTCTGTGTTGCCTACCTCTTCTCATCCACCGCTGATCACTAGAAATACATTCCTTTCAGATACTTCTCATTTGGAGAAACAATTTTCTCAAATATTCTCCCAATTTAAATACTTTAAAATAAAGGCATATTGTGGCTGGATTGTTAAAAATGAGATGAAGAAATGGCCATTCCTTTGATATTCCTGTTTATAAATATTGGCAATGACCTATTGCTGTACAAATTATTTAGTACCACTTTACTTCATTTTAAGCCAGTCCATTATATAAAAATACATTTGCCTGAGGGTAAATTAGAGATGTATTTGACTCCTAAAGAGATTCACCCGTAGCCTAACTTAAATAGCATATCCTTGATAGGATATTCAAAATGTATGTGTGGGGCGAAGGCAGCTGTTAAAAGTTTCTAACACATTTTATGTACTCAAGGGCTTTTTTTTTCCTCTTGAAAAAGAATGATTTTTGTTCCCCATGGCCTGAGGTTACATCAGTAGGTTTATCAAATGACTGCTTACTTCAAAGGGAAGGATTAAATCGAGGAATACTGACCCCAAGGACTTCTAGGTGGTTTAGTGTCCAGCCTGTGTGTGGCTTCTTGCTGGATACAGTGTGAAGTGTGGACCACAGATGAGAATGGGAATGCCTCATGTCACCAGCAGGAGTCCAGGAAGGTGTCCCAAGTGTGAGAAGTTCTGTCCTTACAAAGCAGGAACAAGATCATTGTTTAACATGCTTCACCCCAAGCAAGCGTTAGTGCTGAAACCTCTTGCTTCCTTATCTGACAGTGTGCCTTCTGCATCGCTTGTTATCCCACAGAAGTTGTCATTGCTAGCCTTACAAAAGAAGGTGGATGAGGGCTGTCTCTGAATTGCATGCTAAATGCACCACATCTTTTTGCCCTGTTTTCTGTCTCTGCTTCCTTTAGTCCAGGGGCCAGATTCTGTTCTCAGCTGCTGCATGGAAGAATCAGACTCATAAGAGGAAATGTGATTCCTTGGCTATGAAATAACAATAGATAAGCTGGCCTTGCTGCTCTTAGAGTTCTTGAAAGCAGTGCTCTGCTTTCTTAAACTAGGGCACATGGTTTTGAGGTGGCTGCCTGCCCCTGTGGCTCTTTGGTTTGTATCTGGAAGTGGCCTGAAAGTAGCCTGCTTGTGAGAGAGAAGAGGGAGATGGCAAGGGCAAGGTAAGAGGATATGAAGACGAAGATGACATCACAAGTGCACCTTCTCCTTCAGGGCACTTCAGCTAAAGCCAATCTCCCTCCCCTTCCTTCCTTGTTCAGCTGTTCACATTAATTCTTACATCAGATGCATTTATCTCCATCCCTCTGAAGCTGTTTGTCCAAGCCAAGAGTGGCCTTAATCTCTGAGCCTTAAACGCTGAGTGGTTGGAGAAGCTATACTGCACAAAACTGTGTGAACAGCACCCTTGCTGTTGTGCAGTTGGAACCAGAACAACTGTGTACGCAGCCCTGAGACATGGGCCCAGAGGACAGTACCTCTGTAAATGGGTGACTTCCTTTTCTGTAAAGGAATCCACATGCTTGGCCACTTCTACCTTTCTATGTATATTATCTATTCATGGCCACCCAGCAGTAGCTATGTTTTCTCAAGCTTCATGAAATGTGTTAGTTAGAAAAGGAGAAAAACAGATGTAATTTCCAGCAGAGTGACACTGTGTCTAGGATATTCATTTTTTCAGAGCTAAGGTAAGGGTAGGTTACAGACTAGTATACATGAAGCAGAGGAAAGAGCAATCGCACAGGTTCTGAGGCAGAAACACCATTGCTATGATTTAAGGAACAGTGACTTCCAGGGTGGCTGGAGATGGGAGAGTGTTAAAGGAACATGGTTAATGGTTGCAGAGGGCAGGTCATGTAGGGTCTCAAAAACTAATACAAGGACTTTGGTTTTAATTGTGAATGAGCTAAAAGCCTTAGACAGTGTTGAGCAGAGATATGACAACACTGGATGCTGTGCTGAGAAAATAGTATAGAAAACCAAGGGTGCAGACCAAGAAACCTATTAGGAATCTATTTCAGAAACCCAGAAAGAAGTAATAGTTTAGGATAGATCAGGGTAGTTGTAATGGAGATGGTGAGAAGTAACTGGATTATGGACATAACCTGAAAGTACAGCCGGTAATATTTATTGATGGAAAGGACGAGAAGGATTAAGATGAGTTAAGGATGATCCCCAAGGCTTCTGACCTAAGCAACTCCATTTACTGAACAAAAGATGATTTTAAGAGAGATGGAATGGGAAGGGAAATCAGGAAGTTTCTGTTTTGCTTGGTTTCTAGCTTTTATACATGTTGAATGTGATGGCTCTTTAGAAAGGCAAGATGTTTGGTAGTTGAACATTTTTAACATCACCAGCTGGTCTATGCTCGTATCTGTAGCTGGAGACTATACTGTGAAGGGGCTAACTGGTTTTAGAGCAGCATTTATTGTTAGAAAGTTTCCCTTGTAGGGACTAAAAAGCACCCTTAATCTTCTACTTTTTGATCTTGATTATACTTTTTGTAGTCAAAAAGAGGTAGTCTCATCCTTCTTCCCCATTATATACCTTTGGCTATTAGGAGGTAACTGTCTACACTTCTCTAGATCCATCATTTCCACATCTGCAATTGAAAGGAGGATTAGATTATATAATTTGTAGTTTTAAAACAGGTTTTGTCATTTTCCTTTTGGGGAGGTAGGGTACTGACCATGTTTTTGTCAAGTACTGTATGTGGTTATTCATTTGGTTCTCCTTATGGTCTTCTAAGACTTTGCAGCTCAGGGCACTGGTCCATGGGCAGCAGCATCTGTAGCTTGTTAGACATGTGGAATCTCAGGCTCACTGAGACCTATTGAATAAATATCAGTCTGTATATTTACGGGATTCTCAGGTGAGTTATGGGCATAGTAAAGTTCAAGAAGCATGGCAGAGGTGACACACACACACAAAGTGAAGTGTGGAGAAGTAAACTAGTTTAAAGCCATGCATGATACCATTAAAAAAAAAAAAGAGTTGGGTGTTAGGTCAAAGGATCTTGTTAGTCACAGCTACAGTTTTCTCAGGTATCTGTCAGACATTGGTTTCAGGACACTCATGATACTGAAATATAAGGATGCTCAAGTCTCTTATATAAAATGGTGTAGTATTTGCATGCAACTTATGTACATCTTCCTCTATCATCTGTAGAATCCTTATAATATTTAATAAAATGTAAATGATATGTAAATAGTTATTGTACTGTATTATTTATGGAATAATGACTAGAAAAAAGTCTGTTCATAGTCAGTACAGTTTTATTACGAATGTTTTTGATCTGAGGTTGGTTGAATTCAGATACAGCAGGCTGATTGTGCCAAGAACTTAGAAGTTATTGTCAATGAAATTCCAAATTATTTTGTAAAACAGCCATCCCAAGACCTACTTTCTCTATTCTGTACTTGTATAATGGTATAGGTTAAAGTTTGTGTAGTTACAGAGATTCACTTTGGTGTTCTGACTATGAATAAAGACTCGTTTTCCATTGATGTTCCAACCTCATGTTCTAGAGGTTATTCATGTCCTCTTGGTGTCTGTGCCCAAGGTCTGTAAAATGTTTGCTAGGTCAAAGGAAAATATAATTATATTCAGGAAACCTTGTTTTTTTTAAAGCCTAATGTTTTTTAACTTCTGCTACACATAGAAATACTTAGGATGTTCTAACAGAGAAAAACAAAGCAAACAACAAAAACTTCACAATGACTGAACTGGACTGTATACTGATTAAATCACACTCTCTGAGGGAATTACCTGGTATCAGTATTTTTTAAAGTTTCTCCATTGATTATACAGTACAGGACAACTTTTGAGACCACAAGGTGAAGGATGAATCAACCTAACTCTTCTCAGCTCAGCTCACATTTCTTTCTTCCACAATTAGGAAAGATGATATCAAAAGCCAAAGAACTTGTCAATTACCCTTGTACAGTTTATATCTATATCTCCTGATTCTTTTTCTTGACAAAATTGTGCCACATTTTTATTTTGAGGGCTCTTGAAAAAATATCATGAGACTTTTATTATGTCCACCAGATTTGAAAGGGGAAAATCTTGTCCAAGTAGTGTTTCATTAAAAGGTAGGAGTGTGGAGCCTTCACTAATGTCACCTTGTGTTGAATGACAGTGAAATCATTTACTAGCAG